ATACCATGCCTGGAAATAGAAGACGACGTAAAAGGCTTCAGAACAAGGCAGCCACAGGCAGTTCGCCACAATCCGTAGCACCTTATTCATGCAAGGAAGGCTGTATTACGACACCCGATGGCTGCAGTGTTTGCACCAAAGTTGTTTCGGTAGTCGATGAGGCATTTGCATGCAACCTATGTCAACGATGGGCGCATTGCCACTGCGACACCAAAGTCCCCCGACAATACTATAAGCTGATGAAGAGACAACCATGCAAGTGGTTCTGGTACATCTGTCCAGAGTGCAGGAAAATGCCCGCACTCCGCACAGAAAGCCTGAAGGAGATGCTCTCCGCCACGCAAAAGCTACCAGCACCCTCGAATAAAGTAGGGTTAACACCAAAGATAACACAGAGAGACCTGGAAACAGACCTAGAGCTCCAGCTGTGGGCACGCCACCTCGCGTGGGGACCATATTAGGTCAAGTCTCCATACCTCCTACCCGGCCCCAGGGGACGTCAAGCGTATGGCCAAAGACATCGACCGCTAAAGCCTCTACGAAACCCATTCCAAACACCCACACACCGTGACTGAGAAACAACCAGTGGAATTACTCAAACCCATTGGGAAGTCAAGCGTGCCACCCACAACGAACCCAGGTCACAGGAGGACCAACTCGATCATTTTGTTCAACGTCGATGTATCGACAGACTCATTGTTGGTCGAGAGGGAACGGTTTGACAGCCGAATGTGGACCGACTACTGTCAGATGCTGGGACTCCCTCCCCTCCCTGCAACTTTATGTCGCCTTTCTCGAGGAAGCCGTGCACCCCGAGATAAGCCACCCCCTTTACGTGTGTCCCTAAATACCACCAAAGAGGCTGAAGACACACTCCTCCTCTCGCGACAACCGGACGTTGTTAATGCCTGTAAAATTCGGGCCAGGCCTGACAAGCCATGGTCAATAAGAGAGGAGGAGAGAAAGTCAGCGGTTGGAAATCCCAACAGAAACAACACTATAGTTGTACATGGGATTCCAGAATTGCCAAGTGACCGCTCGGTCAAAGATCGGTACTTTCACGACGTCCAACAATGGCAATGGCTCTCAACCAAAGTTGGTCTCAACAGTATACCGGCCAACAGCGTCAGTAGACTGCCAAGGCCAGCGCACCTGAAGACCATACCCAATCCCAGACTACTCGCCGTCCAGTTCGACTCATATGCCTCCCTCACAGACGTTCTACAGGCATGGTATAATGCGAAGGATCGCATGGGTGGCTCAATACGTATATGTGAAAGTAAGCCTAGACCCACAAGGCAAGAGGAGAGACGACAACCACCAAGACCTCTGGAGTCAGTGGTCGTCACACAGGCGCTGACCAGTGAGTTAGATACATCAAGTAAAGAAGCCACCACTGCCACAGCCCCCACCCAAGTTAATAACAAAACACCAAAAAACGGAACAATGCCAGTCCTATGAGGACTGGCGAGGGTAGACCCAACCACATAAGCTCTCATCCTGCGAAAATACACAACCAGACCTCCCCCTCACCAGGCACACTCTAATATGTATGTACAGCAACGTTAGGGGGCTAAGAGGGAAGGTAGCAGAAATGAGGACGCTGCGTGCACATCAGCACTCCGACATCATATTCATCACCGAATCCTGGCTCTCGCCAGACATCTCCGACGAAGAGATGCATGTTACTGGCATGGAACTCTTCCGCAGGGACAGGGAACATAGAGCAGGAGGGGAGTGGCTATCTACGTAAACTCTTGTTTAAAGGCAAGGATGGTTAGCGATACGGCCTTAACCCAGCTCCCAGAGTCCCTATGGTGCTACTTCACTCTCCACAGTACCAAATACCTGCTCGGAGTCATATATCGGTCCCCCACCTGCTCCCCTACACATAAGGAAATGATCATCAAGGCTATCTTAACGACTTCCTCTGCAAATTACGATTCCGTAGTCATTGCCGGCGACTTCAACACCCCGTCCATCCTCTTCGAGACGGAAGGGAGACGCATCAGATCCTTCAATCAGAAGCTGAAGGATGCAATTAAGACTGCTGGCCTCTCAGAGAAAGTGGGTGATGCTACACGCTGGGGACCTAACGGAAACGCATCGCGCCTTGACTACGTTCTGACGAACGATGAACTTCTCATTGAGGATGTTTGCATCCAACCTCCCCTTGGCCTCAGTGACCACGCTGTAATCACCTTCTCCATGATAACTAGGGAGGCTCTGCAACTGGAGACGCCCAACACCTTCCCTTGCTACAGCAAGGCCAACTATGAGACCATGAGGGACTACCTCATGAATGCATCATGGCCAGTGGACTGGACTCATCTCACAATAGATGAACACTGGGGCCATCAGTCACAGTGTACCAGAAGTAACACACAGACAATCAATGAGAACCTCATGGTTAAAGCGTGGGACAGAGAGGCTTATCCGGAGCAAGAAGCAGGCTTGGTTCAAGTGGCGCACATCACGCAGGGAGTCTGACTTCTTGAACTACAAAAGGATTCGCAATCTCTGTAACATTAGAGTGCGTAACGACAGATTTTCCTACCAAACAAACTTGGCAGCGAGGTTACAAAGCAACCCCAAAAACCTGTACCGCTTCATGTCAAGAAGAAAGTCGACCAGTAAGGGAGTGAATCTTGTCACAGGCCATGACGGGAGTGTGCTAAGCAGTCTAGAGATTGCCGAGCTTTTGAGCTCACACTTCCAAGCCCAACTCAGCACTGACACAAGATCCACACCGACTCGCCACGACACCGACCAGGTCGCAAATAACGAATACCTCTGTCACGTCTCTATTACAGAGAAAAAGGTGTTCGAGAAGCTATCTAGGCTACGTCCGGGCAAGTCCCCTGGCTGCGATAACCTGAAACCAGTGGTTCTGAAAAACTGCGCCGAGGTGCTTACCAAACCACTTCGCAACCTCTTTGAGCACTCAATAGACTCGTGCAAACTCCCTAAAGAATGGAAGAGTGCCATCTTGTCACCCATCTTCAAGGGAGGAGACAGAAAAAACCCTGGCAGCTACAGGCCGATTGCCCTACTCCCTATTGTGTCGAAAGTGTTGGAAAGCCTGGTAGCTGACACCATCTGGGAATTCCTCAATAGAGAAAACACTGTCCACACTGCTCAGCACGGCTTTCGTAGTGGTCGCTCATGTGCCACCAACTTACTAACTGCCTGGGACGACTGGACACAAAGCTGGGATAATAGAAAACCTGTACATGTTGTATTTCTCGACCTAGCCAAAGCATTTGACAGTGTCCCACCCACAGTACTGCTTCACAAGATCATGTCAGCTGGTATAAGTGGACCCCTACTCTCTTGGTTCAAGGAGTACCTGGAAGGGAGGCAGTTCTGCACTAAAGTGAACAGAATAAGGTCGGAGTGGAGACCGTCGACGTCAGGAGTATCCCAAGGAGCAATCCTAGGACCGCTTCTGTTCCTCCTCTTTGTCAACGATCTGCCAGACAAAATATCCTCACCCATCCTCCTCTTCGCTGACGACATAAAAATTTGGAGGGTGGTAAACGAAGAAGCCGACTGTGCAGCACTACAAAAGGACTTGCAGCAACTCGAGCTCTGGTCGTCGGAAAATGGCTTGAGCTTCAACTGGAAAAGTGCAAAGTAATGCACATCAGTAAAAATGAGGCAAGTACGACCGACTTCCAGTACATGTTGAGCAACCGTGCTATCACCAGAGTGTCCATGGAGAAAGATTTGGGGCTCAACTTCTCCGACACCTTGGACACCAGCTCCAACTACAAAGGTATGACAACCAGAGCGAACGCCATTCTACACTTTCTGCGTAGACAGCTTGGCGCCCTCACTCCCGAACTCTTCCTCACCATTTTCAAATCCTACGTGCGGCCGCACCTAGAGGTCTTCAATACGGTGGCTCCTCCAACACTCAAGAGAGACTCTAATCTCCTTGAAAGAATACAAAGAACTGCAACAAAATCAGTTGTGGGGCTAAGGGGAAAGACGTATTCTGAAAGACTTAAACACCTCAACCTATTTACCTTGGGTTATCGCAGGAAAAGGGGTGACCTCATTATGGCATACAAGATCGCCCATCAGGCAGACCATGCAAACAAATCAATTTTGCCTGCAACTGAACGATCTTCACGAGGAAACCCCTTTAAGATAGCACACCAGAGAGCCAACACCACACTCAGGTCCAAATTTTTCTCCCTAAGAGTATGTGCTTTATGGAATGCCTTACCGCGACACATCGTTATAGCTCCTTCAATCGACTCTTTCAAGAGGCGATTAGACAGTTATGTCACCTCGCATGGACTACCACGGACGTACTCAGGTAGTCACCAACCTCAGTACCCCCAACTCCCTCCTAACTACCACTCACTATCTCTCTCCTTAATACACCCACATTACCTACTAATTCTTCTGTAGGAACCAAACCCACGCGACCATTCGCAATTCCCAAATACTTTTCTTTCGTTCTCATTTCTCTCTTCACCCCTTCTTTTATTCTCCTTCCCTTTCCTCTTCCCTACATTATTATTACTATTATTTTTATTTTTAATTTTATTTATTTATTTTTATTTTATTTTAATTTTTTTTTATTATTTTATTTTATTTTATTTATTTATTTATTTATTTTTTTACTCTTCCTTATTTCTCTCTTCATTCCTTTACCACTACCTTAATATTCTCTTTCAGGTACCTACACAGACAGGAGTCACGGTTGTTCTCTAAACTTCCCAGCAGCCCGTAGCTCCCTAATCACTCTACAAATTACAACCTACTAACCCACAAAACATCCACCTCACCGAAGCTAAAAGCAAGAAAGCAGAGGGTATTTCCTCGTCCACTGCAGGAGTGAACCGAACAACTGGAACCAAGCCCTAAGAACTGGACGCGAGAGATCAAAAACTACCAGTTTTCTACGCTCACACAATCAATATTGGATATTGGATATTGGACTTCAAGGTCAATCGGCGAATGGTTTTTAGTAACAAGTTTAATCAATGAACTGGCCAGTGGGAGCTAATTGTTATTTACTAAGAGCTGTTTACACGCATGGGAAGGATTGGGATATAGTTAGTGACTCGTTGAAAGCACTGTCTCAAACGTTCCTTAAAGATGAAAATCTACAGGATCTTTCTAGGCAGGTGGGGACAGGCCTTTTGAATTATTATCTGTTGATAGAGTTGCTCTCTTCAGTACAACTATATCATAGCATCCACACGTCAAAGGTATCATCACTACTAACTTAATTAAAACTCCTGCAGAAATCCTGGTGACTTGACAGAAGATCAACTCCTAAGTATTTCTCTAGATCACTACACTACATTAAGGCGTGAGCAGTTACATGCTGCTCGACTGGAAATCTTGCGAGCTATAAAGTTAGAATCGACTTTTGCCGTCTACTTTTAGAATTGAGGAAGAGGATGCAGAGAAGTTACAACAGGCTCGGTATTCTGAAATCCCCTTAGACCGACTGGAGATGTGAGCGCTACTTTTGTCATACAATTTTGCTTTAGGTATCGAAAGAGATGTCGTGCACTAGGAATACCTGATAGGATTGGTCAAAGCTTAAATTTGGGACCACCGTCTCCTACCGTTGAGGGGAGTGATGAAACTGTCAAAGAGTTTCCCGTCTCACCAAAACGATCAGGAACTGAACTTGAAAATGAAGTTGTTGACAAAGATGGTGGCATTTGGTTTCCTGTTCGAACACCTTATATCTGTGATTTGTTTACTGAGAAGCCAGCTGATGCTTATCATGCTTCTGTTGCGAACTTCATTCGTGCTCAGTGTAAGTCTTACCTCAGAATTTCATTTGAGTGTTTATATTTATAAATCCGCAATATTTGTTAGATTTCATCAAGAGAGTGATGTGAAACGATGTATTGATCGCTGAAAATGTACAGATATTTTCTAAATTAGAGCAAAAGGAATTGTCTTATACTTGTATAAATGCCGGGAGACAAATGTGTACTTATTGGAAATGTCATTATCCACTCTTGCAACTAAACTTGGTATAGATTTATTCCATTGGTTGCGCGTTACAGTTGTTGTGTATAAATCAGTGGGGTATTTTAAAACCGGCCTATTATATGTCACTTAGGCACTTGCGTTGAGCCGTTGAAAGAAATTAACTTTCGCCTAAAGCACTATGATATATATATATATATATATATATATATATATATATATATATATATATTTGACTCTGTTGATCGAGAAGTCTTATGGCAGTGTCTGTCACTGAAAGGCGTGCCTAGTAAGTACATCACCTTATTGAAAGCTCTCTACTCGAACACTTGTGGGCATGTTAGAGCCTATGGTGAGTTGTCCAGGGAGCTATACTCATCAAGTGGTGTCCGTCAAGGATGCCCACTATCCCCATTCTTATTTAATTTTATCATAGATATTCTTATGGAGGTTTCCCTCTCGTCACCTAATTACAAAGACGTTGACCGGATCACAGGTGAATTTTCCTTAGATCTAGAATATGCAGATGACATAGTCCTGTTAGGTGAAGACGCTGACAAGATGCAGAGTCTTCTGAACACTTTGAGTGGGAATTTGAGAATGTTTGGGATGCGATTTTCACCACCCAAATGCAAATTTTTGCTCCAGGACTGGTCTTCAGCGGTACCGCGGTTAACAATAGAGAGTGAAGTGGTTGAGTGTGTTGACCACTTCACTTACCTGGGAAGTAGGATCAACCCCGGTGGGTTAGTTGCCGGTGAGATTTCGGCACGGATACAAAAGGCTCGATTGGCTTTTGCCAATTTGCGCCACCTATGGCGCCGCCGTGATATTCGTTTGTCTATTAAGGGTCGCGTGTACTGCACAGCAGTCCGGTCTGTTCTACTGTATGGCTGTGAAACATGGCCATTGAAAGTGGAAGACATGAGAAGGTTACAGGTATTTGACCACCGTTGCCTTCGTAGTATAGGACGTATTCCGTGGTGTCACCATGTGAGTAATGCAGAAGTTAGGTGTAGAGTTTTAGGGAGAAGAGGTAAGTCAGTTGACGAGGTTGTGAACCTTCATCGACTGAGATGGTTGGGACACGTACTACGTATGCCTAGTCACCGATTGCCTCGTCACACAATGTTGGCTGAGGTGGGTTCAGGCTGGAAAAAGGCCCGAGGTGGCCAGACTAAAACATGGCACCAATGTATGAAGTCTCTGACTGTTGGTCTAAGCCATGTAGGACGATGCAGACTAGGTGGTTGGGGTCCACGGGACAAGAGGAACCAGTGGTTGGAGACCCTAGGTGATATGGCTCAGAACCGAAGTCAGTGGCGCAGATGTATACACACATTATCCTCATCTTAACAACGCTATACCGAATCTCACTATTTTGTGACTCCTCTTTCCTTTCTTCTCGTACTTTATATTTCTTTTGACTGCATTCACTTATCTTCATCCTTCACCTCACTACCTTTTACTTGATGTGCTGATATGAGGTGTGGCAAATCGGACCGTTACGCAGTAATGCCTGGTCCTATGTTGATAATGATGATATATATATATATATATATATATATATATATATATATATATATATATATATATATATATATATATATGTATATTTACATGCAGGTCTATGCAGCAGCAGCTCTTTAGCTTAGGTGCTTAATTGAAATTGTTGACCACTTTTTGAAATCCTATTCCTCCTTGAGGTTGAGAAAACTGGGTGATAATCTCCATACCGTACTTATGGTTTGTATTTTATCAAATAGATATGTAGTTTTTGAGGTGTATGATGTATACTGGCCCCAGGTACCCACACATTATCGGAGTATAAAACCGCAGTTAAGCTGTCATCTAATCAGTGTTCGGACTTCTTTTTGGATATTCCTGTTTAAATGGGATATAGGCTCGCTGGTGTCTTTGTTAAAATGACTGCAAACATCACAGCTGCATAGTGTAACTGATGATTAGAGCTACACTTACTTCACGATAATATTTGTCAGTAATTCTCCCCTTAAGTGTGGTTCAAGTAAACTTAAGACTTCATTAACTGAAGACCTTAAACGTATTCCGCAATCCCGTTCACTGGGGATATGGCTGTTACTGTCTTGAGCAGTATTACAATCAAAACTTTCCTTGTCCTTATATGCACAACTTTTCTTCGGTCAAATCTTCGTTTTCATTTTGCATTCATTTCTGTACGAAATGTACCTGTTTTGGTTAAATTCATGTATTCTAAGTAAAGTATAAATTCTTAATCTTTGCCAGTATTTACTATGCTTCGATTAGGTTGGGTTTTCACGTCAAAGGTTCAATATACCGTTACTGCGGTTTTATGTATTCGAGTAATAGTTTCTGCTTTTTTGTGTGCAGTTAGTGAGTGTGATCACTAAAATTATAAACGTGTATCAATCTCTATGCCCTTAGGTGCTTAAGCAATCCACTGTAATAGGCAGATCAGCTATAAATAATAGAAATAAACTATTAGCCTTATACTTCACACAGTCAGTGGTTCAGGCCGATAGTTACTGCCTTGACGTGATGGTCGGACTTGCACACCATAATGACCCAATAAACTACGCTGGTTCACACACTTCTTCCTTGAGGTTCTGCCATGCCTAAAGGTAAGACGAAAAGCAGTTACCGTCATAGTATAAGTTGCTACCCTTTGGCAGAGGTCCGAGGACAAAGTCCTACTGCTTATTGGATGGGGTGAGACAGCAGCAGGTTGTTTCCATCGGATGACAGGTGGAGGGGTTAGAACTACCCACCTAGAAATACCACACTCATCTCTGCCCCTCGGTATTTTGATGACGATCGTATGTGTTTTCTCTATCTGGTGTTAAACCTCTTGCAACGTCCTCTTCATGTCACTCTGACAATTTTAAACGATGAGCCATCAAAGCACCGTACCCAGTCTCCCAAGTTCCTGCTGTCTATTTCATACTGATGAGGTTGTGAACCTTAATCGTCTGAAGTGGCCTGGATATATACTGCGTATACATAGTCACTGCCTATTTCGAATTGCAATACTAGAAGTTAGATTAGATTGAAGAAGGCTCAGGGTGACCAGACCAAGACGTGCGCATCAGTCAATGATGTCTCTTACTGTTGATCTGAGTCGCATGGGGAGATATAGACTACCTGGTTGGGGTTCCTGAGACGATAGGAATCAATGGTTAAGGACTCTTAGTGACATGGCTAAAAATCAGTCACAATGGTGCAGATATGTTCATCTCTTGACGTCTTCTGAAGCTTGAATATTAGCACCAATCGTTATTTTCAGATTGTTTATTCTGTCACACAACGTTGTCTTCTTTGATATCACGTTTTCTACTCACTTGTTCTTTCTGTGCTACTGTAAAATGTGGCTACTTAAGCTGATGCACTTGTGTGGAAGGTTCTGCCCTGATTTCGTCTGCTTGACAGCTAGTGGCAAATGCATATTAAAGTGACCAAGTGGATACGCATAACACAGTAATGCGAGATACGAGAGCGCTACTAACGCAATGAGATACGTGGACTGGATATGAATGGCAACTGTTCTTCCTCACACTTGGTACTTCGCCTAGCGGGGAAAATGAGAAGACAATGACCAGCCTGTGACTCAGAAAGTCAACTTTATTTGACAACAAACACATCATTTATATACAGTTTTCCTCAGAAAATAAAGCCGTTAGGTCAGTATTTGGATACTTATTCTGACTGGTTAGTAGTAGGACAAAAATGTCTAGTAAGGTTTTCCCTGCCCGCACAGTAACATGAAACAAAGTTGAAACCCGAAACTTCTACGTTAGCGACTTACGACTTGGAATGTTGGTTTCGATTTAGGCTGCTTCGTATCACATGCTGTCTGAAAAGTAATAGTAAAGTACACCCTGTTTTTTCGACAGACAGTTTAGATGAACTGTGTTTAATCATAAAAAGTACAACTGAAAAAGTACAGTTTGAAATCGCAAGCTGATTACTGCAAGATTCAACCCGAAGGAATTCTGTTTACCGGAGAGCTGCTTAATAAGACTTATTATGGTGTGCAAATTTCTGAATCAGCTAGTTAGGTCGAATAATTCGTTCAGAATTTTGGTAGATAAAAATCTAAGGACGAGTTAAAGTGGTTTTCAAACCAGCTTATTTTTATGTGACTGTCAGCTTTCGAGTGAAATGTTCATTCCTCTCTCTCTCTCTTTCTCTTTCTCTCTCTCTCTGATTTGCTATTCGAACAATAGGAGATATATTTGACCACTTAAACTGTTTCATTTTCATGTTAAGACTTGCCACCTTCAGTGGGTTGATGACTGACAAAATCTAATCAGAAGAATCATTTATTGTGTCCGCATTGTCTAAATATATACTAGGGTCTATGCATTACTTTTATATTGGGCTGTCTTATTTTGTCTATGGAATCTAACCTTTTAAGGTGTAGGCTTTGGAAGCATACCTATTTCCTGCTTTGTCAGCCATAATGAAGTCAAAAGGATATGGTAAGGCAAAGGGGACAAGGTATTTGATTAGTTTATGAATCTAAATCAACTGTGACATTAAGGATATGTGTTAAGCATACCGAAACACCTATTCACACTATGTAAATTGTAGTAGGAAAAGCCTGGAAAATAACCAGGGGTTATCATGCCACAACACATCATTGTTCCATGATGTCCAACTGTAAGGAGTGAAGTGGCTGGGCGCATTGACCACTTCACAGACCTAGGAATTCGAATCTGCTCTGGTAAGTCAGTGGCAGACAAGATCCTTGCATGGATACAAAAAGGCTCTATTCGCTCTCGCCAACTTATGCCATTTATGGTGCTGATGTGATATCCGATTGCCGACTAACGGTCGAGTGTACTGCACTGCAGTTTGCTCTATTCTAATATATGACTGTGCAACATAGCTATTAAAGATAGAGAACATGAGAAAGTTTCAAATGTTCAACCACCGTTGCCTTCATAGTATAGACCGTGCGTCGTGTTACCACCACGTGAGTAATGTAGAAGTCAGACGTAGAATTATGTGTTATGTAAAGGAAGAAAGGCAGCTGGTAATTTTGTGAACCTTGATGAACTGAGGTAGCTGAGACACGTTACGTATGACTGGTCAGTCACCATCTGTTTTATCATGTCGGACAATGTTAGCTGAAGTAGATTCAGGATGGAGAAAGGTTAGAAGTGACCAGACTGAAACATTGCATAAGTTTATGAAGTCTCTGACTGCTGGTTGGATCAGTATAGGGGAATGTAGAGTTTGCAGTTGGAATTTGTATGACCAACAGAAACCAGTAGTCGGAGACTAGGTGATATAAGTCGAAATGGATGTCGTTGGCGCATATGTATCCACACATTATCCTCACCTTAATCGTCACACTGAATTCAGTATTTTCGAGTTCCTCCTTTCTCTTTTATTACTGCTTTTGGTCGATTCTTCTATATTTCTTTATCTTTCATCTTGAAATATTCTTGCTTGTTGTGCTGATATAATGTGTAGCAACCTGATCCGTTATACAGTAATACTTTGTCATATGTTGGTGATGAATAATTCACGAAATCCTACCGTTAGTCTAAACCAGTTTTTGGGGAAGTGTACTTTTCCTGCTCCTCTCTGCTCTGTGCATTTGAAGCAAACCAATAATGATGAAATCCTCACGACTTGCTTAATAATATATTGTGTAAGTAACCGTATCATAAGTCGATTACTTTAATACTAAGATATAATTATAGGGGTTGGTCACTAATCTTCCATCGGCTGACAGAAGTACGTTAAATTTGTCAATAATGCGAATATAACAGGTATTGTTTCTTTCTGTTGACACCACTGGGTTCGGGTTATGAATATTTATCTACAGTCTCTAATACTGTTACCATTTTCCTTCGCAGAATTTATTTAAGCGTCTATCTCATGTCTGATATAATGCTATGCTTGTAGGACTTCGGTAATTAACCCGTTACGTTCAGAGTGAACAGAAAGGAGTATGTAATTAGGATTAGACTGCTGACAGGTGAGTTTTAAGACCCCTGTTCCAGTTAAATACCTCTTTCTCTTGATGAGTTCCATTACATGTAGGTACGAATTGATAACACATACGTATGATAAGACTTTATAGGAATTTGGTGAGACTGGGAAACTAGATTTATGTGATGACAGTGTACATCTTTATTGTATTGTCTGTATCATGATAGTCTGTTTAGTGATATCAGTACCGATAACGCGTTTCCGATAGCCGAAATAAACCGAATGTTTGGTTTTTAATTTAGCATTGGGCACTCACTTTGATAAATGTTGACTGGAGTAAGAATGTAGGGAATTTCTAGTATCCGTAATTCATGAAATTGGATCAGTTTATCTAGTTATCAACTTTTTTCTGTATGGTATATGATAGTAGGTTTGCTAATTCTACTCCCAAAACCTTGAATAACTTAGCTGGAAATAGTTATAGCATATCATTTTTGTAAGTAGCATGAGTTTCATCTTATTCTTACTCTACTTTTATTTTCTAGAATAACATTTCTATATAAAGCAGTGTGCTAGAGTGATTTAGCACTGACTGAGCATACGAAACTCTGTAGTCAGTAACTTGAATTCAGAAGCTTCATACCCATTTCATCATTTTTACAAAGAGATTCGTTGTGTGTTATCTTTGTGGTGTGTTATGTTGTATTACTCAAGGTATTCAGTCATACTTAATCAATAAAATGTCCATATGATATTTTTTAGCACTTAAATAGTAAAATATTGTTTAAATTTATTTTTCTAGCTGTTATTTCACAAAGACTAGGCCTTGAAGGACAGAATGATGAAATTTCTAGCCTTGATACTACATCATCGGTTCAAACTCACTCAGAGGTATGCATATTTTGAGATGTGCCCTTTTTTAGCTTTTTTGAAGGCATTAACGGTCTTTTTTAACCATTTTATTCCAGACAATAACTTTCAGTACAGTTTAGGATTATCAGTGTGGTATTTCATCAAATTTACTTCGCGTACAATATTTTCAAATTAAAAAACCATGACAGTTAAATAATGTTAATTATAACAGTATGACAGGCAGTAACGCACAACAACCAGTAGTTTTCATGTCATCATCTAGTTTGTATATTGTTGCACGTGGATTGAGTAGAAAAGCACACATAAGTTTGGTGGTGGGTATCCATTCATCCAGTAAAAAATTTTCCTCCCCAGCTACATGTTTCTGTAATAGCTGTGTGATGCACTGTTGGTCATCTGCCGTCTACTGTGACATTTTCTCGTAGTCTTGTTAACCCGTCCAACTATAAGTTGAAGATATTTTGAAAGTGCACGAGAGTATGTTTTACGATTAGTTGGCATTTGAATAGTTGAAACAAGTAAAAAAGGAGCAATTTGATGAAATATATTCATTGAAATACTTTTGGTAGCTTAAAATTAAAGCAGGCCGCTTATTTTTGCTTAGTATTGCTGAAAAATTGAAACATACTAAAGTTTTTTCCAATCTTTTGGACTCCATTTGTAAGATGAATCGCTCACTAAGTCGTGTCTAGCGCATTTCTGGGTGAGAAAGTATGACTTCAAATCATTGTAAGCGAAGAAAAAGAGACCATTCTCGGAAAGTAGTCAACTTTTGGGCACTGATATGAACTATGGTAACATGGACCGGTACACAGTAATGTCAGGTTCCACGTTGATGCTATCTGCTTGATATTTTGACACGAATATTATTGACTTATTTTGAGACTACTTTTACTTTCTTTAACTAGAATAAGGTTTTCGAAATCACCTACGTTTTATTCTACCTTCGACTGGTCATATATATATATATATATATATATATATATATATATATATATATATATATATATAGTCTGACTTTCATTAGGTGTCAGACTTTCGGAAAGAATGTTCTGATATTATCAAACAGTAGACAATAAGTCTATTTTGCAAATTATATTCATTATGCACATGGAGTTTTGTTGTTTCTTTAAATAATTCATATTTTCTTTCAAGGTTGCAAGTGTCCATAGTGAAGATGCCAAAGCGGAAGAATCCCTCGAACCGTCCGAGCAGCCTTCGGAGTTGGATAATAGCTTAAGTACAACGGAGATACAGACCAACCCTTCCAAGTGTTTAGAAATTCAAGCTGAACCAGTGACACCAAGTAGCTTAGCAATTGTAACTGATTCGGAAACACTAACGTCTCCGCATTTTACTCAAAGTCTTAATTCAAGTCCTGCACTGAGCAATGTAGAGATCCATTCGCCAAGTTCACAGAATGCTAATCGTAGCCGCAAGCGTGCTAATGCAAAACGAAAAGCACCATCAACGGCCCCTACTACTCCTCCTTCTACTACTACTGTTACTGCTCCAGTTGTAAATCAAAGCCAAGAATCAGAATCCACTTCAGGTATTGTTTTATCGCAGTTTTCCTATCTACTTATTTTACATTTCCACGTTATCTAGTGACTCACAAAGTAAAATTGGTGAGATTGATAAAAACGTTTTGTTGCTTGTACATATTTTAATCTACAGTAAAATATAGTCTATCGTTTCCCCTCTGGCTTGTTGTAGCATAAACTATTTTGGATTACTAGTGCTATAATGTTCTCTACAAATACCCAAGTTTCTGTTAGATTCATTTAGATCAATCTTTTTTCACCATTTATAATCTTTTGTGTCTTGATAAATATTTATAGGACTAGTTCACTACATTTTAACTATCTAAGCTTTCGTAGGAAAATAAACTGGGGGGGGGTATGCTCAACGAACCAAGTGGATGCCCTCATCTCAGTCATTTCAATGCATTTGTGACCACAAGTTTATGTGAGTTCATCAATTGAGTTGAAGGTGACATGAGCAGGGCCATTATCCAATTTCGATTGCGTTAGTGGGCATGCTGTATTGTATAATGATAAAAGTTTAGCTGCAGGGAAGCTTCTCAGTGTTTCTTTCATTCTTGCGTCGATTCGCTTGGATACTGCATTTCCCTTGAATGCTACATGGATTATCAATGATTTTGTTGTACAACTTAAGATTATTGATTTCCTAATTTTGACTGTATACAACTAGGGAGTATTCGTGAAGTAAAATGATATCATTTTATTCTGCAAACCTCGTCCTTCTTACTTTATCCAAGTTTTAAATGTTTTATGATCTTTCAATTTTTCTTAAGAAGTGTTGATGTTATGAGCTAAACACACTTGCTAACAACATTTATTTAATCACCATTTTTGTTGTGTCTACTCACATGAGTAACTTCGCTTAATACCCTATTCTGGTATATAGGACAACTGGTCACAATGGTGTAGTGATAAATCATTTTATCTAAAGGATAGTTATTGACTCATATTTAACACTAACTGAAGTTGTTACTGTAAACGGTCAACTATATAATAGAATGTAAAATGTCAAAAACCAGCTCATAAATAAGACTATTTAGTCACACTGTTGAATAATTCTTAGGCAAAACGTCTTTCAAGATGTATCGTGACTCAGTAGGATATGCGTGTCTAAACTTTAAGTTCACCTTTTTGGGTTTTTTTACACTAACTTCAGTCCCTAATTTGACGTTTGGGTTCATACTGTCTATACTATACCTTGTACATATTGCGTATTGCTAGATGTAGCTGATTGACTTAGATCCCAGATTTCCAGGCAATGGGCAGCGAGTTATATATACAAATAAATATAAATGTATTTGTTCACTCATGGTTCACTGTTCCACCGCCTAACAAATATACAACCAGTACATCTGTAAATGACAATGACTAGTATGATACAGCTTCGTTCCCGAACCAGTTAGCATATTTGATGGGTTTGTTAAAGGTGTGAGACTATAAATCTGTTTTTGTTGGTTTTACGAACATTTAAGAGGTCTTATTTCGATCCTCTGTTTCTTGTCTTCACACACTTTGTTGGGAATCTTCCGAATCTTCACTAATCCAATTGTGGTATGTCATCGTTCATAAAAGTCAAAAGTGAATATCAAGTTACCTACTGACAGTTTACTGTTCATCCAGCTAGATGTCAACTCTATTTTTACTGCATAAAGTCTCATGTATAACAGTAGCAGAAATAAGATTCACATATGCTGCTTATCTGTCAGTGAAAAATGAAGCTTTTTTTATTTTATCTGGAAGATGCGATTAAAGTACTCCAGTCTTGTATTGTTCCATAGCTGGAAACGATGAGAAGTGGTTTTCATAGTGTTATATTCAAAGAGATATTGACTGTTCATCTGTAACTTCCACAGTAACCCTTAAGTTAATAAGTATGTTGACAGTTACGCTTCTGAACCCTGTATAGCTTTATAGGAATTTTAATTTCTTGTTTTTGAAAGTCATTGGTTATTTGAAGTTATCACCTTTCCTTTCTGTCTTCTTGTTCAGTAATACTTACTGCGAAATGACTTACCGGACATATCACCTGACGGTGCGGATTTCGTTCAGCTACTCATATCGTTCAGTAGCGAGTTTGATTTCCCTATGAGTTTTCTGTCAGGAGGGTGATAAACATCTATTTTGACTCAAAAGTGAAATACTATTTGACTGGGTGGTCAAAAAAAACTCCACCATCAGGTTTACTCAGACAAACCATACAACATAGAATTTCACACAACAGTCTGCCGGTTCAGATTGCTGTCTATTCTTGATATTACTGTGATCTAACCAGTGGAACTCATATATATTATTTTGGGTGTTGCCGCCCTTCAACGACAGGTCTGGCCGTATTTTTCGTGATTATTCTCCATGCCGGATTATTTATGTACACATCTCACCTTCTGTATCCGAGGTGGATTACCCGCCATCTACCTTTAAGGTGTGAAGTACTCGGCAATTGTTACATTTCTAGTGAGACTATCTGAGTTAGCCATGACTTAGTAGAATTATTGCATTACTTGTCACTAGTTCACTATGACAGACTAAGTTGTGCACAATCAAGATAAAGACTGTCTGACTAACATGTTATCAGTTGCATCGAATTGGTGTTTGTTTTGATGAGAACTAGTTTCTGTGTATTGCATGGCTCACTTGTCTTCGCCATTGGTTGTTACTGATGTTGCTCATATCTGCTTACTTTACTTATCTATGTAGCTCTGAGTCCCACATTATCAACTAACCCCAATAATGAAGAACCTGTAGAGGTATTCCAATCATCAATTAATATTGCTCGTGGATGGCGAAGGTCTCTTTTATCAGTACTTTCAACGGTATACAGTCATCGTCATGCTTATGTGTTCATGAATCCTGTGACTGAAGATATTGCTCCTGGATATGGTACTGTTGTTCATGAGCCTGTGGATTTAACTTCTCTCAGGCGTCGTATGGAGTCCTCTCTAAGTCATTTGATTAGCTCTCAACAACCTTCAGCTGTAAATCCATCTGTTTCCTCTTATCAAGTTATCGTAGAGGTCGCCACACGTTTTATTCGGGATCTTTTATTGATGTTTGCGAATGCAAGAATGTACAATAGCCAAAATCATGAAGTTCATCGAATGGCTGGGGAAATGTATCGTGATGTGATTAGTGAAGTAAGTTACAACTTTTCAGTTATTTTGTGTATAAAATAGTCATCTAGGAATTGTTTAGTTTCTTGGTGTAGAGTAAATGAAAAGAAAGTTCTCTAGAATTAATTACTTACTCATTTAAGCATAAGTTCAATATTTTCAGTTCTTGTTTGCTGACTCAACAAAGCATCTTATACTTTTTGTGTAAGTGTACGTATAGATTTAAAAGTGCTAAGTAAGACTTCACTTCAACATCTTTTTTGTAAAAGCTGTTGAACTGGAACTGTTTGTATGAAAATTGGTCTGATTTCTCAACCCTGATAAATAAAGTGTTAATCAGACTCACCAGTGTGCGTATGAATGCTCTGAGAAATATAACTATCTACTGCTTAAATAGCCTCATTTAAGTATGCGTATTTTCTCATCAATCTAGGCAATCTAATAGGTACTAAATAGATAACTACCACTGAACTAAAACCTTTAAAAAGTTTGTGTGTTATCTTGAAGTATCCCCTAGTGAGATTTAGCTGTAAATGATCTCTGTGATTTTACCACAAACTTTTGACCCATTTTATCATATATTTTCCAGCAGAAGTTTGTGTGCAGATATAGTCTGTGTGATCCTTTTTATTGCTTAAACTGGACCACATTTCTCACAAAACCAGGACTTTCTTTTTACTTTATTTTATTCTTTTTATAATATTTCCATCCTTCAGTGACAAAGTTTGTCTGTCTTTTTGCCCGCCTCATTGTATTCTATCTGACTGCGTTTCAAGTTTCTCGTTTCCCATTATCTTTTTAACTACCATCTATACTAATCGAAACCACCTTTGAGCCAGACGTGTACAGAAGTGATACATTGGGAATTATTTTTAGCTTCCCACAAATTTAGCAGAATGAAACTTTTGTTGAGATGCTTGATAATATTACCCCCTCTCAGTTTTGCAAAATATATTGGGAGAAAAGTGATCAGCTACCTATGGTTCTTAAGGAAATCTCTGCTGTAAGTTGTCCTACAAGTTGGGGACTTTGAAGATAGTTTTATTGGTTGATACTCATATGGAAGTATTTATAGAGGAAATATATTTGTAAAATCTCAATAAGGCAGGAAAGTACATCTCTGGCGTTTCGCGAACTCGTGAAAACTGCCTCCCTACCTCATTGGGATTTCGCAGACATTTCTCCTTTATAAACAATTTACCTAGTGCTCGACTTTTTCAATTGTATCAGGCCTAATTTTGGCCCTAAAGTCTACAATGTTTATATTCATGAATATTTTTACAAAAGTGGAATTACTTGGTGACATCGTATATTATTCTGTTGCGCAGTGCTTATTTTTTAAAAATTACCTTATACGAATAAATTTATATCATGTGATTAATTCTATTATCACGATTGAAATAAACCACTTGATCCACTCATGTCCTATACTTCCAGTGCGATAGGCCTGCTAATGATAGTCTACTTTGAAAATTGAAGGTATTCAGTTCAGTTCAATTTATTTGTTCCAGATATCAATATTTAAGTTATCAATAGCATGAAAGTATGAAAGATACTACAGATTGGCATAAGGTTCAGTTATATCACTCATGTAATTTGACCTAATATATTTAACTGCAAGTAGTTCAACCAAACGGTAGTGACAGCCAATCACATCTGAGTATGCATTGACCAGTCAGAATCTAGCATATGAGGCACATCATAATTAATAAGGAAATCGTATTTTATCTAAACGAGAGATAAAGATTTTCAGTAGGTTTATCATCGGAACAGTACCACTGTCGGTATTGCCACTCATCTGCATGCGACTATTTCATATCTCCTTGTGGTCTTGTCAAAAGTCTTAAGAACTTCCTGGGACGGCCATATATTTTCCACGTTGTTTATGTGTACTCCAGTTGTCGGATCAAAGAAGTGCTTTTTGGAAATATTATCGTGATGAGGGAAACTGGTTTCAGATAACGGTATGTACGACTTTCAACCATTTGTGTAATTGGTAGTTCCCGATTCTACCCATTGTTCTATAACTGATAGGATAGATTCTTCTGATCTATCCTTTATCCACCGAAGATGTTTTCTCTCGTATTGTTATCCTATTTACGAAAAATCTGTGATTTGTCAAAACATACGTTTGTGACTTGTTCAGTCCTGTTTAAGTCACCTTCGCCGATTATCTTCACCCTCCCGCACGAAACACTTATCCAGTTCCAGGACTCCTCCAAGCTTCACACGTAGTCTGCAGGTTATTTCGGAGCAAATGTCCCAGCGTTGGTGATACCACTGCATTAAAGAAAGTTTACCAACAACGCTGGTAATACAGGTGTAGCAACCTAGCTTAGTGCTAAATTCATTTTTTTGTTGGAGAGTTAAGTAAGGTCTTTTGAAAAACCATCTTGTTCTCCAAGATTTCTTCTAACAGCTGGGACAACGGAAGATAAAACCATCTCTTCTTGTTAGTATGAAAGCTGTTAGCGCACCACATTCACAACCAAGCCTTCACAAGCCATCTAATTCTCTGCAAATAACCTACAATATAGTCTTCATCATAATTCATCAACAGCTTATGCAACGTTAACAACGTGGCTGAATAACCACCTGAAGACAGCATCTGTAACCTGATTAGTCGTGTTTAAACTTTCCTATCACTAAATTTGAGTTCGGCTTAAGTAATTTTTAGAATTCAGTAACTATGATCTCGAAGTCAGCTGAAACATGAATTCGCTTCCTTGTAATTTGATATTTATTTTTTAAACAAATTTTATATTACCGAAACATTTCGGTTGTTTATTGTGGTCTCTGAATGATGGCGTAAGTGAAAAGTTTTTCCATACTTCGAAAAGCAATTATTATCTATGAATTAGCGGATTTTTTCTACACTTTGAATTGAAACTTTGAAGTAACTTTGGTTTCTTTCGTCTGCTTCTCTAACATATAAGGTGCGTACTTCACTTCTCGAATTGAGCACTAATTACCTGTTGATTAAGCACAAAACCTTTTGGAATACATTTCTTTCCACACTCAGCAATCACGTAAGTTTACAAAGTGATCGTCTGAGATATTTTGTGGTTTTATTGTCATACCATTTTCATCTTGAAGTGAACAAATGAATTGGGAATTGTTGGGGATCTTATGTCCTCCTAAATGAACTCTTTATGCCTTAAATTCATAAATTTTATCGGATTAAAATTTGGATGTATTCTTTTCGCCTCACCTGTATTTTCCTATTGGTTCTTCCACTTTTAATATACTAATTTGTCTATTTGCCCCAAGGGCATCCCCATTGTAAATAATCCCATGAGCTGTGACCCTATCTCAAACCCTTCCAATTGAAGTAAACAGTCTACAGTTCTCACTGTCTTCTTACTTGTGTTAGCCGAGCGAGTTGTTGAGTATCAGATTTCGTTCATTTGGCATCCAGTTTACCGTATTCCAAAATCTCATCAGGGGCAAGTGAATGTTGAAAAATGGATTTAGCGAAATTCGATCGTTTTTTCATCAGCATATAAACGTTATGGAGTTGCTCACGAACGCAAGAATAACTTTTGCTGCATTGTCAAACGCCACTCCAAATTTAACTGTTCTTTCTGTTGATGATATTGCAAACAATAATACGAAATTTCACTACGACCCAGATACCAATGTTACTTTCGATCCTTGGTTCCGGCGATTTAAAAGTCATTTCATATATGATTTTGATGGCCACTATGATGCTTGGAAGGTACAACTGTTACTGAATCCAGCTGGAATAAACCAATACTAAAGCATAATTTTTCCACAGAACTCACATTTGATGCCACGGCTCAAACATTGGAACGGCACTCTGAAGATCATTCTTCGTTTATGTAAGTTATCGTTGTCCCTTCATGGTACTGTACAAAAATGATCCTTTCCTCATTCATGTTAACTTTATCGACCACGAATGTGAACGATTTGCGCTGAAATTTTCAACAAACCAGTTCAAATTCCCTTATACCAAATCTTGTAATCCCCGAAATTCTGGATATGACTGCTGAATCGTTTGGATCAACTAGCACTAAGTCACATATCTGCAAAGCACCAGAGACCAGTCAATTTTAAAGGGGATACTTACTTAGATAAAGCAGGACATCACGGTCACCCGGAAGTACATTCATTTCTTCGCACAACACATCCTCATACAACTTGTGGTAAAACGTACCCTAATTGACCTAATGTCCAACATTATCCTCGTAACTCTAATAGAGTGCTGGAGAATTCATCTCCTTCACTTTGTTGGGATTGTGGCACATAGCATTTCATTCGGTCTTGTCCTTTCAAACAAAATGGATGCCGTCATTATTTTCCGGTAGTTTGTGAAGGCAGATGTCAGAAGCATCAGGAAGAGATGTCCATATCACCCTTAAAACAGTGCCATAGATCAAGCTCTTCACCTACTGGCGATTCTCTCAGTCTCGTAACCAACTTTCAAGTGCAAATGCTTGCTCGAAAGAAATTGATTGGCGTCCATACAAGCCATCATCTGTTGCGTTTGCAATTGGATACGGTGTCGGATATTGCTGTTATTTCAAGGCAGCTGCGGACGGACAATAAGTGGCCGCCCATTCAGAAGACATTGAAAACAGATGCAGGCCCATATGATGATCGTCCACAGCTGGTAGGAAAGCTCGAGTGTTTTGTTTCTTTTCATGGCAAGTATATCGACGGCGTATGATGCTTAACCGACGCTGACTTCCATCTTCCTGTTCTCTACTGGCTTCAAAGTCATGGTTTAGCAGGAATACAATTAAACGCCTTATATAATCAGGTGCAAACTTCGATACTACACGACACAACCTGGCAATTCGCAGATGCTTTTAAATATAGCCATATATAGGAGCAAAGGCTATCCTTCGACTACAATTCGATCGCAAACTTATCTCTCACCCGAAAAGACTGCTGTCATATACCTCCCTGCCACAGGTAGAGGTAGAAGCTGCACTTTCCCGCCTCGAACAACCACGCGACGGACAGGCAGATGAAATTAACGTAGGACCTCACAAATCAGT